AATGAAACTGTTTCGGTATGAATACCTTACATTGACGTATAAATTAAGGTATGATCCCCGTAATGCACTACCTCCGCTTTAAAGAGTATTTAGATAGAATAAAATTACTGGCAGCTGCATTTGGATCTGAGGAGTCAACCTTTTTTTCTTTCTTTTTTTTCTTCTTTTTATATTTTAAGTATGTCTCAGATCCCTTGTGTAAAGAAAAAAAGTGTTTAATTCTAATGAAATGATTATTATTAGTATTTTTGGGTAAACAAGGACAACATTGTTGCAAAATTTGAAAGAGATGTGGGCATGATAGTTATGCATTTAGAAGATTTTCTATGGGCAATATCTGGAAAATATCTGGATATCTTATCATCTTTAGTGACATTGACCTTGCAAATATTAACCTAAATTACATGTGCCACACTTGTAGTAATGATAATTATCATTTGTGTTACAATCCATTAATTAATAAATAACTTAATGGTCTCCGTACACAATCTTTGACTTCTCTATGTGACCTTGACTTTGGTAGCAGGGACCTGGATTGTGTGCGTAATAAGCCTCACAATGGTGAAAATTTGTGCCAAGTTACATTAAAGTCCCCCGATGAATGCAGAAACATTTTTCAATGACCTCAAAGTGTGACATTAACCTTTAACCTAGAGACCTGGTTCATGCACATGACACTGCTTGTCATAGCGGTGAACAATTCTATGAAGTTTCATTAAAATCCAACAATGCACGGGGGAGATATGCTCTGGACACAATTTCTATATTTGATCATCTTTAGTGACCTTGACCTTGCATATATTAACCTAAATTATATGTTTCACACCAGTTGTCATGATAATGACCATTGGTGTTCCAATCCCCCAATAAATGATGACTAAATGGTCCGAATAAACATTTTCATATTTTATCTGTACTTTGACTCCTATATGTGACCTTGACCTTAGCTTTTGCACGCGACATTCCGCCTTACAATTTTGAACATTTGTGCTAAGTTGTATTGAAATCATTTTATGCATGTAGAAGTTTTGCGATGGACTAGCGTTTTTCAATGACCACTGAGTGTGACCTTGACCTTTGACATAGAGACCTGGTTCATGCGCATGACACTGCTATGAAATTTTATTAGAATCCCTCCATATGTGTAGGAGATATGCTCTGTACAAAATCTCTATATCTTATCATCTGAAGTGACCCTGACCTTGTATATGTTAACCTAAATCACATGTGTCACACCAAATTTTTTAAGCAGTGTAAAATGTTGTAAAATGTTAAATGGGAGGGAAAAAATATCCGAGAAATTCTATTCCGAAACTTCTTTTGATTATTTTAAATTTTAGACGTTTTGCATTTCAGAAAAATCTTTTTTATTTTTTAACTAATGGCCAATTTAGAATGGCCAATAAGATGATTTCAGTTTGTGATTTTAAAACGACCAATGGAAATCAAACTTATATTCAGTTCGTCCCTGTAAATTTTACTAACTCAGACGGACTTTTTCCGAAAAACACTGTAACTTTAGATAATGTAATAATGTATAACGAATGTATATCTTTGTCATTCAAAGGAAAATAAAGTCTATTTCGTTAAAAATCATGGATTGAATTATAAACAACATAACGATTAAATATAAATGTATTTAATTTGTTTTAATTTGTTGCGCATGAAAGAGTACACATCTGTATAATGATGTTTAATTTTGAATATTTGTGTTAAAATATCTTAATTGAAAAGGCTTCGCAATAAAAATGGAAGGTCTATGTAGAATGTATTTTCCCCGCTTTTTAACAAACTTATGAATTTAAACATACTAGGTCTTTGTGTGCATATTTCTTACACACATTTTTTCCTTAAATTTTATAAGCGTCGCATGCAAGCACATAATGAAATTCATCTTCCAAGTCATTTTTTGAACACATTTAACACTTTCCTTCTCCCAACTAATATCTCTGTCTCCTCTTTTCAATATTTAACTTATGAGATAAATGTCTTAGCTTTGTGAGGGCATGCTTATAATTTTGATTGTCTAAAATTAATAAATATGGAGGCAATTCAAAACGTTCTTTAATTTCCTTGAATAGAATAACATTAGTGCACTCGAACTTTGCACGCCTTCTTTCCACAGGTAAATGTATATCCTTTAAACGTAACTATTTTAACTAATTTCAAGAAATACGGAAACATTGATGATCGAGTCTCGAAATAACCAAACGTCGGGGTAGCCAGATTCTTGAAGTAGTATTCTGACGTTTGTTAACCAGTTTGTTTTGCCATTTTCACACCCTTTTAACATTTCATGATCAATATAAAGCGTATATAGTATTTGGTTTGTGTTAAAACTATTCATAAGTTGAAACCAGTACTTAAAAATCCGTAGTTTCTATATATCATAAGAGGATAACTTCCGGTTTCTCCATAAAGAGCTAAATTGTTTGTTGTCATTTTAACATTCAGCGTTTTTATGTCCCCGAAGGGAGGCATAATATAATCGCACCGCCTTTCTGTCCGTCTGTGCCACTTCATTCGTGTCCGGACTTTCACTTTGTCATACATTGAGGGATTTTAAAATAACTTGGCACAAATGTGTACCACATCAAGACGATGTGTCGCGTCAAAGGTCAAGGTTTCATTACCATTTTGAAGTTCACTTTAGCACAATAAGCGTTTATAGGTACACACATTCGTGTCCGGGCTGTAACTTTGTCATATATAGAAGAATTTTAAAATAACTAGGCATAAATGTCTACCATATCAAGACGACATGTTGCGACAAAGACCCATATGTCCCTACCTTCAACATCAAGGTCACACTTATATCTTGAAGGTACTCATTCTCTCGAGAAGAGTTTGAAGAAACACATTCCTGTCCGGACTGTACTTGAAATGCATGGAAGGATTTTAAAATCACTTGGCACAAATGTCTACCACATCAAGACAATGTGTCGCGACTAAGGCTCATGTCCGTCTGTCCGTGTGTCCCCACTTACACAAAAATCATGTACAGACTGTAACTTTGTCATGCATTGAAGGATTTTGAAATAATTTGGCACACATATCTAGACTGTTAGTGTTATTTTTCTTTTGGAAGGTAGCACAAAAGAAATTACTCTATTTCTGGAGAAACATTTTTAACTTTGACGTATAAAACACCGTTTCTTTTTTCTTTTAAATCTCTCTCGAATGACGGTTTAGTAAACTCACTCAGATATCTTTTGCAAAGTTCAACCGCTGATTCAATACGCCCTACTAAATGATATAAAAAGATCTAGTCTGATGCACTTGTACTAAAGTGTCAGGAGATAGAAATAGAATGTAAGAATGAAGTCTCGAAAAAGAAATGTGACTAGGTTCAACTATCAAGCCAAGAGCTAAGATATTTGACGTGCATTATGACTATCATGTCCACTCTATTGTTAATGTAGGATACAAATAAACTAACTTTAGAAAAATACTAAGTCTTATAGGCTTTTTATCTGAAAAGTGATGGTTCAAAACTTAGCCATATATTATTAAGGCTTATAGGCTATCTACAAATGATATGTAAATAATGTCCTGGATACAAAATGCCATGATGCTACCCGGAACCACTTTTGAAACATATAATTGTACATGTTTTGAGAAAATGGTTTACTTTAAGATCTTTTTCTCGGAAAATGTTTAGGTAAGAGCTTAGGTATTTGTCATACATGATAGCCTTCTACAACTATATAAAGCATCTATTGAGCGTAAAGAAAATAAAATACGGTACAAGTTGCAGCACAATGTTTTATTAAACATTTTAACCATTTGTAAATTTTCATCTCAAGGTGTGTGATTTCATATTGGTTGACAGTTTAATATTGTATAGTGCAAACTGATCAGTAACTTCAGATTTGTTTAATATAGTTTTACTAGGATTATAAAAAAAATAAGAATTTACCTAACCTAAATTTGAAATAATTCATTGATTAATATGCAAGCATAGTACATATAAAAACCATTACATGTAATTGTATATGATAAACTTGATCAAACTATTGGATACGGAGTATCAATAAATACCAAAGTTATGTGCGGCTTTAAACTGCTTGAACCGCACCAAAACTGAGTGATAAGCCTTTGCCACCGATGTAAAACCAGGCCAACTAGTACATCTTGCCTGACTAATTTCAAATTGTCATCTTGATATTATGGTGGCTGAATTCTACCATTTCAAGTCTTTGTGTGTTCGCCCCTCAAAACTCGAAGGCGACTTTTGGGGGCGCCGGCACGAAGAAAAGATATGTTTAAGGAGCAATAACAATATACACGAGATCTTTTTCTGTAAAATTATCGTGTCGGCGTGTAAAATCTTTGAATCGGCGACTATATTTGTCGTGTCATCGTTTCTTCGCCTCAAAATGCGAAAGCCGAAAACACGGTAATTGGCCAATTTATCGAGTCTTCGTGTCATCATGTCTTCGCCCCGAAAGTGAAACACACGATAAATTGGCCATTCATCGTGTCTAAGCCTTTTGTATTTTGAGGAAAAAGGAAAAAGATCTCGTGTCTTCGCCTGTTAGAATATCATTATTTCGCCTAAACATACCGTGTCTTTGTGTCGGCGACGCCAAAAGCAGAAGGTAAAGACACGATAATTGGTCAATTTATTGTGTCTACGCCTTCCACGTTTGAGGGGTAAGGCATGAAGACATGAAATGGCAAAAATCGGCCACCATACGATATCCCTAGAATTGACAATGGTTAGTCCATTACAATTATTCAGGAGAATACGTGGCTGTAAAGTAAATTGATTGGCATGGTAATTGTATTGATTGAATTTGATGGATTAAGATAGTGTCGAAAATAATCACAGAAATATCATAGAAATAACACTATGTGTTAACAGTAATGATTTAATGTATATTATCTAACATGGCTTGTGTAACTGCATGTATTTGGCTATTAATATTATAAGATATATGTTGTCTGTATTCGGTGCATTAAAAAATGTTAACAAGAGATTTAATATCATATTTTAGACGAAAGACATCAAACAATGCCTGCTGTAAAATGCCCTTTTGACGGATGCGACTACGTCACTGACGACCTTGAAGCAACGATTGTTGTTGCGCTTATTAAAGCACACACTACGGCACATACTGTTGGTAAAGTTGTTACAACAAAGACACCAGCTGAGCCCAAAACAAGTACCGACCCAGTGACACCACCTACACCAACAGATAATGTACATAGTAAGCATGGTTTTCTTATGTCCATCTTAATAATAAGTTGTTATTTAAAGTTGGAAACTACTCGTACTTCTACTTCTTTGTTAAAAAGAATTCAGACTTATATCTTGACGTCAAGATAGCGGCCTGGAAATGGTACATATAGTCACTATTTGTCCGATAAATTTGAAATAAATATTTACAAAATTTGACCACAAATATATTTTTCTAAAAGCGTGACCGTTGATCTACCAGGGATTCGTACCTTACGGGGCAAATAAACTGATATTAAACATTACAGAGGGTAGGAAATCTCAATCGTTATAAGATTAATATTGTCCACTTTTTACAGAAATATATTGCATTTCAGGATCTGTCGGTGATCTAAATATCCCTCTGCAGATATGTCACAAATATAATAGCAATGGTTGTGACAGAGGTAATGCTTGTCCATTTTTACATCTGTGTAAAAGTTATATAGAAAGCAGATGCGAATCTGGAAAGGAATGCAGCAAAAGTCACAATTTTCAACAACCTCAGGTAAAAGCCATCATGGAAAAACATGGAATAGATGTAAAAAGGAAGACTAAAGAAATTCTACAAGACTTGCAAGCTGCTGTTAAAGAATTTAAAGGACAGAGTAAAGATGATTCGAAAACAAAACAGAAAGGTACACAATTATTTTGATTTTATCTAGAATACACGCATTCGTATGACGACATGAGAATAAATTAACAGCTTGTAACATAACCGCAATACTGTGAAATAAGTTTTCTTCCAATTAGATATTTACTCAAGCATTAAACATTTTTATGCGGCAAAATATAAACACTTTTTATTGTACTATTTATCGGCTCTGAAAAACTTCATAATAAAGGTAGATGATTTTGAAACATCTGCCCATTTTATATGTTGCTTAAACTATTCAAGACCGAGCCGCTTCGCCGAAGAAAGGTTCTATTCAGATTTGTAACAAGTACAATGGAGATTGTTGTGAAAAGGGCGATACTTGTCAATTTCTACATCTGTGTAAAAGTTACATAGAAAGTCGATGCGAATCTGGAAAGGAATGCAACAAAAGCCACAATATCCTCGAGCCTCAGGTAAAAGCCATTATGACAAAACATGGAATAGATGTTAATAGAAAGTTCAAAGAAATTCTACGAGACTTGCAAACAGCTGTTAAAGAAAGTAAAGGACAGAACAATGATGATTCGAAAACAAAGCCGAAAGGTAGGTTCAAAATGAAATTTGCAGTATGCATACATCTGGCAGTAACAACTTCGATAGCACTCACAATTTACATGTATTTACAAAATGAATGTCCCCCTAAAAGTTAAGAACTAATAAATATATTTTCTTCATTGCTTCATAAATTGCAAAGAATATTTTAATCAATTGTGCCGGAAAGTAACTGCTCAAGTAAATAAATTATATCATAAAATAAGAGTGTTTATAATATTTACAAAATGAGTGAACTGAACAAGAACCATATTTATAAAATCATTAATAAGAAATCTGAACCTGCTGATTTCCCCAGAGGGTTTTACTTTTTATACACTTTTATTTCTTCCTTGTTACTAAATTGTATATTTTTCACCATCAAAGTATCTATTACGGTATTAAAATCTTCATCAGGTTGATATAAAAAAAAGTAATCAGCGTGATTATGGCCTTAATACACCTCAAAAATCCATTTGATTACAACTACAAGTTACAATTATAACATGTACTGGCTTCAGAACCCTTCAGCATTCTTCATTATACTTTAGCATCTAACAATCTAAATTTTTAGACTGCTCTTTCTCATATAGATTTTTTGTTACAGTACTTTATAATCACGCCTTTAGCATAGCAACTTTATATCATCACACGAATAATTTCTGTACATATATAAACAACTATAATAACTCTGGTACAATTTGTTTATCGGCTCCTTTATAGTAAGGCACATGTTTATAACATTTTCATCAACATGCTTTCTGCAAGTGTTTTTGTATAAGTATTGATTTTTCTTTCTTTACAAACGTAACCTGAAACATTACAAAGTTATTCAACCTGTTATGTATATCCGAAATATTATCCGCGTTTGTGATATATTGGCATATACTTTATGATGTCTTCCATATAAGGACTTATATATTATATTAATATATTCTTCTCTTATTGTTATCCCAATTATACATGAATGGAATACTTTTTTCATGGTTGCTTTCTATTGTATTACTTGTACAGTGGAAGAAGTATTCTTTTTTTTCAAAATCCACAAATAAACATCAACAGTCTAGGCTAATAAGCCCTTGACCCGACACATAATATAACTACATCTTAAGCAATACAGTATATTTCACAATACAAGATAATATAATGACGGACATTGAATAATAAAATTACTCACTTTCAACGTATTGTTACATACATATATTATCCGAACTGTATGGTATCATTTACATTTTAATTTTTTATCAAAAACACTACTGTTTATTTTTATATATGTATATCTCTTTGATAATTTGGCGTATTACCTTGTTCCGTATGTGTTCTTGTTACTGCAAATCAATGATAATAAATGACTACTCGTATTATAATAATATGCTCATATATAAATATTTATAATGTTTAGTATTACTAACCTCTAAATTTGTACATAAACATAATGTTACATAATGCCTTGTATCGAAAATGAAATTACAAGACTATTTTTGTTACTACTAAAACTCCAAAGCATGACAGTTGTTTCATGTCAGATATAAATATGTCAGAATTTGACACACATACAAAAATTCATTTATACGCCACCCTTCCTTGTTGATCTTGTCTTTCATGTCTTTAGGTGTATATTATATTGTATCTGTTTTGCGAAAACAATTTCAGCCAAAGTTTCTTCTGAGAAAACACCAAAGAAATCTTTTGTTGGGATATGTTACAAATACAATGGTGGTGGCTGTGAAATAGCAAATTCTTGTCCATTTTTACATCTGTGTAAAAATTATATAGAAGGTAGATGCGAATCTGGAAAAGAGTGCAAGAAAAGTCACAATATCCTCGAACCGCAGGTGAAAGTCATCATGGAAAAACATGGAATAGATGTAAAAAGGAAACCTAAAGAAATTTTTCCAGACTTACTAGCATCTGTGAACGAAGGTAAAAGACAAAGAGAAAGAGAGAATTCAAAAGGTAAAGATCAATTGAACGTGAAATTGATTTTCAGTCAGAACCTTATTTGTTAATTACTTCTTATTATAGCATACCTATAGTTTTCTTATTTCTGTCTGGATATAGTAGTTGATCAGTTTCCCGTTGACGGGTGCATGTTTGCAGTGAGACTACTGTCTCTTAAACACATCTTTAGTAAGCGGCCTATTTATAAAGCTGCCGTTTTCTCATCGAACGAACACGCTTTCTTTTCTATTTAAAATTTAATCGTCTTCATCAATTACCATGTTTTCAGCCCAGGATTGTGTCAACAAACCGCCAAAACCAACAATCTGCTTCAAATACAACAACAGTGGATGTGAAAATTCTGAATCGTGTCCTCGCATACACATGTGTAGGGATTATATATACAGTAAGTGTGAAGCAGGAAAGGGTTGCGCTAAAAGTCACAATATCCTTCAGCTTGCAGTGAAAAGTAAACTAGAACAACATGGCATGAATACTAAACAAAAACCGGGAGATCTTCTTGCTGAATTAAGGGCAGCTTTAAGATCAGAAACTGATGAAGTAAAAACTGACGACAGGAAACAAGTCAATGGTAAGAGTAAATACAAATAATGCAATTGTGTTACTTATGAAATATAGGTTAACTTCACAATATGAATGTATAACGAATCATTGATGAGTACTTTAGGTCATAGCTACTTTTATTATAAGTGAATCACCAACCTATACATTATAAGCAAATATTTATATTATCTTTGTTATTGAGTTACTAACTGAAACCTTGATTTATTCTATCAACTGTAAACTACGCTAGTGAAAGATCATTTTCAACAAGCATGTATACATGTATTCAGATAAAGAATATTAAGATAATAATGGAAGACAAACAATAGGGACAATATTCACATAGTTTGTCCAACCCTATCAACATATTAATATATTTTAGCATGGCTTTGTAGTGCAGTAAGTGAATAGTTTCAGTTTTCATCTTAAATATAGGAACTTTTAATAAGTTTAAAAATCTGGAGAAAAAGTGATCCCTCGGAAGCAAAGTCAACTTAGACTAGTGAGTAAGAATTATATTGTGTTATATTTAATACAGATGCCGATGGAAATAAGAAGTCGGCTCCTAAAATATGTTACAATTACAACGGCCGTGGATGCGAGAAAGCGGGCTCTTGTTCATACATACATATGTGCAAGAGTTATATTGACGGCAAATGTGAGGCTGGAAGGGGATGCAACAAAAGCCATGATATTCTTGAACCAGCAGTGAAAGCAAATCTCGAAAAACATGGCATAAATACGAAAAGAAAACCGAAGGACATTTTGGCTGATTTTCAAGCAGCATTAAATGGAGAAAATCGAAAAGGCAATATCACTGCTGGATGTGGAGCAAAAGGTCAATTGAAACATAAGATAACATAGAATTTAGTTTGCATATCTGTTTTATAATTAAATTCCTACTTTAAAAATAATAACTAGTATATAAAACAAATACAATTTGTTAACATTTACTTAATATGATATGAAAGAAAGTAATAAAAATACAAAGTTGACTTAATGCTAAGTTGCAAACATTGGCATTAACTCCGTATATTAATCAAACCAACCCTATCAACATATGAATATATTTTAGCATGTCTTTGTAGTACAGTTAGTGAATAGTTTCAATTTACATTTTCAATATAGGAATTTGCAACAAGTAAAAAAATTAAAAATCCTGATACAAAGTGATCCCTAGGAAGCAAAGTAAACTTAGACCAGACAGTAAAAATTATTGTATTATATTTTATACAGATGCCGATGGAAAAAAGAAGTCGGCTCCTAAAATCTGTTACAATTACAACGGCCGTGGATGCGAGACAGCGGGCTCTTGTTCATACATACATATGTGCAAGAGTTATATTGACGGCAAATGTGAGGCTGGTAGGGGTTGCAACAAAAGCCATGATATTCTTGAACCAGAAGTGAAAGCAAATCTCGAAAAATATGGCATAAATACCAAAAGAAAACCGAAGGACATTTTGGCTGATTTTCAAGCAGCATTAAATAGAGAAAATCGAAAAGGCAATATCACTGCTGGATGTGAAGCTAAAGGTCGACTGAAACATTAAAAAACACTGAATTCAGTTTGCATATCTGTTTTCTAAATAAATTCCTACTTTAAAAATAATAACTAGTATATAAAACAAATAAAATTTGTTAACATTTACTTAATATAATATGAAAAAAAGTAATAAAAAAAACAAAGTTGACTTAATGCTAGGTTGCAAACACTGTCATTACCTCCGTATATTCATCAAACCAGAGCTGTAGATAATGTTTTCTATATCTCTGACCATTTATTCTTAAAACATTTGTGTTTCCCAGTCCATATACAGGTACGTGTTTACTTACTGTTATTTTCATTTGTATATTTAAAACCCAGTTGCAACACATAGCAGAAAACCAGCAAAGGTTTCAAGGAAAAAGGTATGCATATTTAACCTGCGCGGAATATGCAAATGGAATTTCTGTCCCAATGTTCATTGCGACCTCCCGTATCAGTGGCGATGGAAGCTTTTGTCTGCAAAGGAATGGACTCCACTGTATCAGCATGAAAACGTTGAAACAGAGAGAGCATTCTGTGATCCAGCTAACGAGGTTTACAGACTTGTAACTGAACAAGGGTATTTCATTATATTTCCTTAATTCTATTTGTACATTTGAAGTTGAAACATTACCAAAAATATTTAATAATCAAGATATAAGTGTACTTTAATTAAACTTTGCCTTCAACATTTGTCATACTGCCGTTTCGGACGTTAATTATTTAGGGATACCTTATTTCTCTATTTTTTCCCGATAAATTTCCTTTCTATTTATACTTGCATGTTAAAATAGCCGCTTTGAATTCTATAAGTGAACAAGAACACTTACAACGTTTCAAATATCACAAAGGTTCAAGTTTAATTTTTGGACTTCAATTCAGTTCTCGAATGTCTTCTTAGTGTATAATATTTTAAGTCTACGACATTTGACGAGCTCTTAAGATTCTAACTTGAATTTTGTTAAAAGCACATTCACTTAATTAATGACATGAATATAGAAAACTACTTCTTTCGTTAAAGTTCTGTTTGTTCATCATATCTTTATCTCAATATTTAGGGTAAACATAAACATTGATTTTAAAACGATGATTGGCACAGACTTTGAGGGACAGATATTTGTAGTTAATCGACTGTCTACACCATCGTCTGTAGAATTAGAGCGACAGCTTTGGGCAACAAACTGGATGTGGTATTGGAAGAATGAAAATGGTGGATGGATGAACTACAGCGATACGGTAAGAATGATTAAAAAGATTACCCTTTGTTTGTCAACGGAAAATAACCTGAAATCATTTGAATGTTGAACATAATATCAATTTAATACACTACGAAATAAAAAATATTTTAGTACAACAGCAACCTGAAGTGCTGATCGTCCTGCCTATTTTCTTATGACAAAGAAATTTCAAACAGGGTAAATGAAATAACTTATGAAAATGAAAACAAACAGCAACAAAAGAAATATGTCTGTCTGATACGCAACGGAACGAGTCAGATAAAATAAAGGCAATAAAATAACTTTTTCATGCATGTAGAAATTTGCTCCGGATGCAGATTTCCATAATGTATTTTAAGAATTCTTGAATAAAAAAGTATACATATTTGCTAACATTATTACGACGTAAGATTAATGATGCGCGGCTTCTATTGTTTCCAAATATATTTTTATAGCTAGATAAAATATTTTCTGTTATGTATTGTTCTAATAGCATAATAAAATTTGCCCATTTTTCACTTCATGAACTGTAGTTGTATTGTTCTTCTCATACTAGTACACAGTTATTCCGCTTATTGGCCAATATATGCACATAAATACCTTTATTCTAAATACTGGTTCATTTAAGGTTGGGGAAATAGAGAAAGGTGATATTGAACAAGCTTTTATTAACAACCCAGATGGACAGTTTCCCCTTCGAGAAATTGGAAGTATTATCGACTTTTCAAAAATGATGCAAGTAAATGATAACCCGGCACCTGAAGTTGAAATTTGTCGTAGACCTGTATTTGTTAGTGAGAAGGAGGCAGAGGAAAGGAAAACAAGACAAACACAAAGGTAAGGAACGTAATTAGGATTTTAGAATGATCTTTTATTTATTAAAATAAATTTGTTATTGTTATGACGGCAATAAAGTTGCCGCTGTCAATAGACCCAGAATTGATCTGTTTGTACGACTAATATTCTATGGAAATTTGAAAAAGAGTCTAAATTTTCATCCCTTCAATTTCCCATAATTTGCTTCATTTTTTGATATTTTGTAATTAAAGAATTGGAAGTTTCATCCAAAAAGGAGGTCATAGGACTTTTAATTATAAAAATGATGCATCAGTTATGTTATAGGACAAAATGTAACTATTTTATAATCAGAAGGATTTTCATGCATTGTTCTTTTCAATGAAAACGTTTATTTTACTGGTAGTATAATTTTTAATTAAATATAATTTTCAATTAAATTAAGTTTATGTGCAGTAGAGTAATGAGTTAACCATCTGGCCCCGAGTTCAGTAAGATTTAAAGATCAGGAAAAAACTAAAAGACTCGAATATCTTTCATTGTTTATCCTCTTAGATTAAATATTTGATGTAAAATTGATAAAATTGGACTTAAAATCGAAATTAATTAATTTTAAAATCGAGTGTTAATAAAATTCTAAATTAATTTATTATTATTTTTACAAGATATGGACATTTTACAGTTGATCAAAATTTGATCCTGACCCTAAAATTGATCCATATTTTTTTGTATTTGTCGAATTTTTTTCCAAAATAGGATTGTTTCTTTGCAAATCAGTATTTGTTTGACATTTTGTTAATGTACCATTTTATTCTAGCCAAATACAGTTATTTTTAGTTTCATAAACCAATTAAAATAATCCTGATCATAATCTTTTCGTTGTGAACATCAGACAATATCGATAAAGTGATTCAATGCGGATTTGCATGTAAATATAGAGAAGTTTATTTTATACTTATAAATGAAATATTGAAATATATTGATGAAAAAATGCGTATTTTAAATTTTCCGTATTTGCACTGTAATTTATTTTTCGGCAGTGAAACATATTTTCAGTGCTTTCATTGGTGTCTTGACGGACTACTTTTTTTCTTTATTCAGCAAATACACAAACCAAAGGAGAACTTTTAAGAACTGTACGGTAAAAATAACACCTTAAGATATTAATTTTCATACCACTTGATGAAAATAAATCCTGTACTTATAGACAAAATAGCTTGAATATCCTCTATATATTTGTAAAGTTTTATACAGGGATTCACATTATTATTGCGACTACGATTCATCTGCTTGCTATAATATATCTATTGTAATTTAGGGTCTAAATATACAGGGTCGACATAATACGTGGTTTAATTTTTGTTGTTTTGCAATACTGAACCTAACGAGGACAGTTAGATCCTCATAAAAATGGTAAGTGCATGAATTCATACATCGTTACAGGATAATAGAATTACCATTTGGAACATTTTATTGATTGTTCTATTTTCTTTTAAGAAAACGAGGAGGCCAAATACCTAACCAGCCTAAATTAGAACGTGTATCTAGCACTACTGAATTATCAGCACCACCGAACTGGAACATGCTTCCTGAAGAGGACCTCTCGGATCATCGTCAGCTCGTTCCGGTAATGATAAATAATAACAAACGACTTGATAACCATTTTACAGTGTTGTACAGGATGTAGATTTTAACTCATGTTCGATATAGCCAAACGACACTCAACAAAAAGGAAAGTGCTGTAATGGAAGTGCATGACAATTTTTTTTCCACTGTTATATTGTAGAAACAGAAATATATCTAAATGGTGTAAAATAGACACTTTACTTCTGCCTTTTTTGTATCAGAAATGCATTTTCTCATAATCGTTTAGTAATACAACTTTACCTGGAAATGCCATTTTGGAGTAGCTACCATTGAACTGTTTCTCTAATCTGTAGGCAAAATAATTTAAGTTATTGGTAAGACAAACTTTTGAGAAAAAAGTGAGTATCCTTCATCTTTAATTAAACATCGCCATATCAATAAGGATAGGATTATTTTCTTGTGATGACCTCATCAATGAACTGAACGTCAAAGCTTTCTAAAGGTATTGATGATACTAGATTGTTGTGATCAAACTTACTTTATCTTGACCTTTGACCTATTGACGCTACACTCACAGGCACTTATAACCCGACACTTACTTTTTTCTGTATAAATAGGTTATTTGTGGACGGATTTTGTTCAAATTTGGACCATACAAAATTCAACATATCATTCTTACTACTTATAATAATATTTACAGTTCATCGATAA